ACTCGCGGTCGCTGGCGTATTCGGACCGCACGCTGTCTTGCCGGTCGAAGGTGCCACTGTTGACAAAAATAAACACTTTATATGTGAATTTCTTAGTCGTGCTGCTACAAAATCAGTCAAGGTTCTTACCAGGGTAATTATGATTCGACGGTGTCGTAAATAAACAAAAAATTATAGGTACTTCTGAGTACTACCAAGTGTAATGTACTTCTGAGTAATGTGCCCACATCTTAGCCCACACCTATTTAAAAAGTTTTACTTAAATATTTAATTTTGTGTTTTTATTTTTTATTATTTTGCGTTTCTGCTTATTATATTTTGTATAGCGCATTGTTGGAAAATAAATTGTTTGTATTTAGGTTTGGGTAACTATATTTGAACGATATTTTAGTGGAACGTATGTACATTTTGGTCAGTGGACACATGTCTGCCCTCGTCAGTGAAATCTGAGACAGATTACATTTATAATAGCCTACAGAGTTGCCGTATCATTGTTAAAGTGTGTTACTGTCCACTTCAAAAGTCATACCTATTATCTAGTTTGTCTTTGTGTACGTTCAGATGCAGTATTTAGGTGAGATAACGAAAAAGTTGTACAGAATTAATTATTTATATGCAGTAACCTCGTAGCCTTTCATAAGCTGATTATGGTGACTTGATGATGAAAGGAAACGAAAATCCCGTGTTTAAAAAATTAGGAAGATAAAACCAGGTGAAATTTTACTAGTGACCAATAGAAAAAGCTCAGAATCGGCTGGTGATAAAGAACAACTTTTCCCAAGTAACATAGGCCGTAAAATAAAAAAATATTTGGTTCTCCCATAGTAATTCAAATCAGCTGATCGGCAATGTCGTATGGGTGATCCATTTTTTTTTACCTAGGTACAAATTTTTTGGTTACCTATGTTCCTTGGGGAAAGTAGCTGCTTAGCTATTGGTCACTAGTAAAATTTCACCCTATATACTCGTGAACTAGAAAATTCATTTTCCGCTCGAATGTTCGGCGTAGACGATATTTTCTTTTTACTTGGTACAACAGGCCATTTGTATTCTGGCCAGGTGCTAGCCAGCCCAATAAAAGCACCGGCGGCAGTCCGTAACCGCTTCCACCATGCAATAACCATAAAACAAAAAATGTACCCGCTAATTTATTTTGTTAATTAAACCCTTCTGCTGCGGCATGTACTCTAGCGTATTTACTGAAGTTTTATTTATTCTTCGAAATTTCTTTACAATACTTGTAATAGTTTATTGAAGAAATTAGCAAGAAGAAATATTTTTTATTTCGATGGTTTTTAAATATTACTCAGAGACAAACATTCTCAGTACCCATTGCCTAAATAAGTGAGATTTCACCTAAAGCATATTTTCATCTAAAGAAGAAATAGAATCAGTCAGAAATACATTTACACGATCCCAAAGTGAATAGATTTCTAAACGTGACGGACATTTCAGTATTTCAGTGCAATGAAGTTGTTGTATCAAAGGTACCAGTGTCCATGCAGGCTTTCGTGTTTTAGGCTCAGAGCTAAAGAACATCTCTGAGGGAACCTTACAAACGGAGTAAAATGATTAAAACTCGTCACAGTCAGACGCCGTGGTGTGAGTGCAACTTCAAACACGACTGCACAATAGTCACACAGTCAAATATAACATTGATTTTAAAATCAATAGGTGCATATGTACAATGTTTTTGGGTTAGCGCACGCCAAGTGTGATTGCGACGAGCTTTTCACGGCTGCACTTTGTTTTCTTGGGTTCCCCTACGAACCATTTCCCCTGCTCTGTGATTTCAGGGGTCTGCTGATGAGAATTCCATTCCGCGTCGAGCGTTCGGTGTCCTTTGTCACGGATGTAAATCAAATGCAGGTCCAAAGGACGTTGGTTGGACTTTGTGTGGTACTTTTGCCCCGTAGTGACCAAACCCACAAAGACTGTAACGTATTCGCTAGTTTACGTTACGTATTAGTCAATTCCGTTTTATTTCTTCTTTGATATTGAAGAATATTTTACTAAATAACTTTAAAATGCTGTAAACTATTATTCAACTAGCTTCCGGCCGTAAGCGGTTTCACTCTCTGCAACTCATTTCCCGCAAGGAAAAAGGCATTTTCCCGAAATATGTTATACATAATATAAATCTTCCTCTTTCATCACTATATCTTTTACAAATATACCGCTTCAAAATCCATGGCGTGGTTTAGAAGTAGTTAGCGAATTCCACGACAGACAGAGAAACGCAAAAAGCGACTTCATTTTATACTATGTATTGATTGATTGTGTTGTGTAAGTACGAACCAGTCACCTGTGTTTAATTTTAAAAGATATTGTTTCATGTAGGTAGTATAGGTAGGTACTTATTTTTATAAAAACAAATTTTCTCCACACCAAACTTTACGAAATCGTTCCATCATCAGAACATTAGTCTTTAGAGTATGTTTTGCGTGATTCATTTTTCCCATCGGAATCGAAGTGCTTTCCCATACCAAAATGTTTCGGGCTATTTTTATTCTCGTTGATAAAAATTTCAAAGTAAATAAAACCTCTACGTGGATTCGCTATTGATGAAAAATAAAATATAAACGCTTTGTAAAAACATTAAACATCCTACAGTTCGCGCGCGATGAGATGGCAGCCATATGCTATCATACAGGTTGTTAATTTAAATTCGTGCCATAGCTTATGGGAAGGATGAATAAAGAATGCAGTTAAAATTTTAATAAAAAGATTCTGGTCTTTTTTCTTGTCCAATAAAACCACATTTTGTCCAGGAATTATTCAAATACTTTTTTATTAAGTACTTAATCTACCCTGAATCTATGAAACGCATTTAAATTAACACCCTGTATATTGTCTTTGCTTTCGAATACTATCAGATCGCGCTAGCTACCTGCGCAACCCTTCATTTATTTATGCCACTCAAGTGTACTTTGCCTAATTGCTCTTGTACTTAGTTGAACCCATCTAGGCTACCGTTCTGCTGTAAGTTGTGAAAAAGATGAGCGCCTATGGATTGCAATGACTGCAGCTCTTCAAGCAACCATCCCCGGCGGGGACGCGGAGGTCCCTCATTTGTGCCCTTCTTTGGTAACTACCGGTGTATATCGGGTGGACACAGGCCGATCCATTCTTCCCACAATAACACGTAAGCCACTCCTACTCGTATTGGGCTGGTTACAGCTAGGTGTAGTTTTTATAGCCCCGGGGCTAAAATCGTAGGGTCAGTTAGGAAAAAATGCAATGGCTGCGTCGGTAGATCCTATCCGTTCCGGTCTGATTATAGGTCACTCACCGTTGCTCAAAGCTGTCGGCCCGATTGCTCCTGTAGCCGGAGTCGTCGTGGCTGCCCTCGTGCCGGAGGCTGGGCAGGGAGTTCCAGGGGGCGCGCCGAGAGCCGTACATAAGTTGCAGAGGAGATAAGCGCCATGGATCGCAATGGCTGCGTCAGTATCCGTTCCGGTCGAATAGGTGACTCACCGTTGCTCAAAGCTGTCGGCCCGATTGCTCCTGTAGCCGGAGTCGTCGTGGCTGCCCTCGTGCCGGAGGCTGGGCAGGGAGTCCCATGGGGAGCACCGAGGGCCGTACCTAACTTGCAGAGGAGATGAGCGCCAAGGATCGCAATGGCTGCGTCAGTAGATTTACCCGTTCTGGTCGGATGGGTCACTCACCGTTGCTCAAAGCTGTCGGCCCGCTTGCTCCTGTAGCCGAAGTCGTCGTGGCTGCCGTCGTGCCGGAGGCTAGGCAGGGAGTCCCAGGGGGAGCGCCGAGAGCCGTACATAAGTTGCAGAGGAGATGAGCGGCAAGGATCGCAATGGCTGCGTCAGTAGATGTATCCCTTCTGGTTGGATAGCTCACTCACCGTTGCTCAAAGCTGTCGGCCCGATTGCTCCTGTAGCCGGAGTCGTCGTGGCTGCCCTCGTGCCGGAGGCTGGGCAGGGAGTCCCAGGGGGAGCGCCGGGGGCCGGGGGCCGGAGCGCCGCGCCAGCCGTCCGAGTGCCGGTACCACGCGGCGCGGGCTGACTCGCCGATGCAGGACGCGCAGCGGCTTGTGCTCACGAAACTAAAAGAAATATAACTTGTCATCTCACTGTAGTTTGCCATATGATGATAAATAAGTACCTACTATTTGTAAGTAGTACTCATGAAACTGAACCACTTTCCCCATGGAACATGGGCCGAAATATGAAAAAAAAATTTGGACCTCCCATAGTAAATCAATTAGCTGATCGGCGATTTTGTATGGGAGGTCCAAATTTTTTTTTTCATATCTCGACCCATGTTCCATGGGGAAATTTGTTCAGTTTTATGAGTACCTTGACCACCTTTCGGCTTGTTATACCCTTTCCGTTACTCCCGGTATATAAATAGGTGTAGTTTTATATAAATAAGTACCTACTATTTGTAAGTAGTGGAGGGTGAGAATATCAGAAAAATTTAACTTTTACAGCAAAGAGTTTTGTGATCGTTTCTAGATATCGTGTATTTCTATTAGACTCGGGCCACCCCTATAGGCTCTCTAGTTTCATACTAAAGGTGATGTTAGCAAAGGAAAATAGATCTTATGTCAAAGCATTATTATCATGATTTTCACATCTGTGACTGACCAGAGATTAGTATGAATTCAACACGCGAACCACCATACACCAATGCAAGTATTATTCGCAGACATGAGTATGGTTCAAAGTCTAAACTGTTCTAGCATAAATAAAATCTAGAACTACGTATAAACTTGGGTCATCAATACTTCGTATTCCAAGTTAAAATAAAATATATTCCGTGGATATTTTCCTGAGAGCTGTTTTCCCCGCTACGCAGCACGGGGATGCACGGATAGCCTTACATTTGATTACGTTAATGAACACGTTATACTACGGTATAAATATTCCAGGAGCTTATGTGACCTAGTTTGGCGGAACTTGGATCTTCTATTGTATATAGGATAGGACTGCTCGTAAAGTGATCCCATTTGAAGTTAGGACTGTTAAGGTAATTTGACAGTCGATGTGGTGCAGTGGCAGTACGACTGCCTCTGACGCAAAAAGTTCCGGGTTCGATTCCCGGTGGGTCACATCACATCACATCACAAAGTTGATATTTATCTATCACTTTGTGAATTTGTTCCCAGTCTGGCTAGGACATTGCAGCACAAAGTAAGTATTTGCTAGCGGTGGCTGAACCAACTGATTGCCCGAAAGCAAGATGGTTGCGTACTTATGCTTCGGATGATGGCACGTTAAGCCGTCGGTCCCGGAGACTTTCAACGATTACTAATATACAGACAGAGGCTTGCTACTTATAATAGGCGGTTAAAAAACTCTAACACCAGGATTCATCGAGTCGTTGGACTACTCGGTGTCCCACTTGAAAAGAAGAAGAATGAAAAGGGTTCATATGTATTCAGCAATGAAAACATTAGAAACTGCAGCTTAAAAACACCTAAATCAAGGACAAGGGTATACCTATTAGTCTTCCAAATGAGCTACCACTGCTCTGGCCAACCACGCTGTAAGTCGTCAAATTAATTTTGAATCTGCTGCGGTCAGAAACACGATAGGTCAGTTGAAATGTAACAATTACCTATTTTATAATTCCAAATTCAAAATAATGTGTGAAAAATTTAGTATCTTTTCACATTACCATGAAAAGGTTTTGGCCAAAAAAATACCCAGATTCGCCAGGAACGAAATGTATATAAATGGGTTCACTAGAGTCTTGCTAATTAATTAAAAAAATAATCTGGGTCCTACCCCATCTAGTATAGAAAATATTAGATAAAATATACGAGAGGATGGTTCAGTTCCAGTGGTTTGTTTTGCCCCCCAGTATACCTATCTTTTACTCAGTTGTAGGTAGGATGTCAAATAAGTATATAAAATATAATCGTCAATATCCGTTAAAATTACAACTACTTATGATAAATATGTTTGATTCAAAGATAAAATATATTATAAAATATCTTGGATGACTTTGCTAAATGTTTATACAACAAAAACCCAGATTCTACTGGAAGGAAATGTGTGTACACAGGATGTAAAAAAATCAACTGCAAATATTTGCAGGGGTGAACCAGCCCATGAAATTGAACAACTTTCCCAAAAGAACAAAGGTCGAAATATGTATAAAAAAATTGGAGCTCCCATACAAATTGACTCGGTCGGCTGGTATAAGGGAGGTCCTAACCTTTTTTTATTTTTCAACCTATGTTCTTTAGGGAAAGTTGTTCAGTTTCATGGTCTGGTTCACCCCTGAAAATATTTGTAGTTGATTTTTTTTACACACATTTCGTTCCAGTAGAATCTGTTTTTTTTTGTGTATACATAAACATTTAGCAAAGTCATCCAAGATATTTTATAATATATTTTATCTTTAAATCAAACTTATGTATCCTAGTTGTCATTTTACCAGATACACGAATATATTTTATGCAGGTACGTATTTGACATCCAACCTACAACTAACTACAAGATATACTCGGGTGTAAGAGCAACCACTGGACGAGTCTCTCACATAAGATATCTATTTCATCTAATATTTTCTATTCTAGATGGGTTAGAACCCTGTATATTTTTTAATTTCAATATCAATACTTTAGTGAACCCATTTATATACATTTCGTTGCTGGCGATTCTGGGTTTTTGTTGTATGAACATTTAGCCAAGCCCTTTGAAACTACACGGACCTACTCTTATTTGCCTGAACTAGGTACACTAAACACGGACCACCACGGTGCGAATCGGCGAGGCATATCGGTCTCATAAGAGTCTTACGACAACTTGGTATGAGTTTCGTCCTCTAAGATAAGCTTCTTGAACCCAAGCCGGGAAATCGCTTAACTTTATGTACCTAGTTTAATAACAATAACCAGTTTAAGTTATGATGCTAATATACTTTTCGCCTTTCGTTCTTCCTTTACTTGTTCAGCGTAAAAACTGAACTAAACCATATTACCATGAAAACTTAAGTTGTAGCCCGGTGTGCACAGTCACAAGCGAGGTGAGAACTTTAATGCCTAATGCAATAGCATTGCTATCTACTCTAGCTATTCTTGGGACCTCTGTACACTCGCATTAACATACGACGAAACGACGCAAATAAATTATTTAAAGGCATTAGACTCGTCTTCCCCGGCATAAGTATCACGTAACTGATTCATGAATCAAGGCAATGAGGAAAATATAAATAGCAATACCTATTGTTACGTAATTACCTTTTCAAAAGTGTATTGGTTGATTTTTCACATTGTGCATGAGCGATTCGTAGATACTTATATTATTACTACTAAAGAGTAATGTTAGGATGATAGTCAAATTTATATCAAAATTCGCTTAGTAAGGGGCAAGATCCACACAAAAGACGCGCGATGAGACGCGCCACACGACCTTTTTCAAACAAATGATCGTAAGCCGTTATCCATGTGGGACGCACGTCTCATTGTTTCATCTGTTTGAATTTGGAAACGGTTTCAAGCGTCGTGATGTCACTCACGTCTCCGACGATCACATGCTTGACAGATACCGTGTCACGTCTCACGTCTACTCTGTGGAGCTTGCGCCGGTTTAATAAAGAAAAGAATAGATTACAAAATCATATTGTAGTTATATTATAATAATGGAACATAGTATAGCTACCGTCATATTTTTTACAGTATTTTACTTATTCACAATGACAACGTCTTCGTCAACTTCCAATCCAATCCGCGTAATCTTTGCAACACTTTTACGTAGAACAGGGTGTTAAATCTTTTAGCACTCGCCGGAGTCAAAAATCCGCTCCAAGTTAGAGAATGAAAAATAAATAGGAGCCCGTCGGGGAAGTAATTTGAAATGGACGTTCGCGTTCCCTGCCGGCGGGGTTCTGCCGTTACGTGTCAGATTAACAGAACTTCGCTTTAAATCCATTAAACAGTTTTATACTATTAGATCAGTTGTAATTACGTGACGATACGCGTGTTGTTTATTAAATTACTTGGACTATTATTGAATCTTGCCTCTCCATAAATAAGTTTTTAAAGAAATTAAAGTTAGACAATTAGTCCGTAGTTGCAAAAATACTACGCTAAACACTCTATATAAAATTCCTTATGAATGAATTCCTAACTGAACGTCGGAAATACAAACGATAAGCTTTTGTACTTTTGCAATACCTATAGGCGCAATACAGGAAAAAAATAGTAAATTCTGAAGTAGATCTGAGGCGAAATCTCATTAATCTTATCTCCCCTGTCTCTTGAGCCCTGTTCACGATATTATTTTCCAGGTGGCCTCACGCGACTCTGCATAATCCGGACCACCGTATTTTAAAATTATACCCATCGCGGATCCAAACGTAATCTTACCAAGTACAAAAGCGGAGAAAGCTTCGTGTATAACTCTTTTGAAGGTACTTAGCACAATGTAAAAGTTATTTTTGTACAGCTTCATTCTCTCTTGGAACATTATTCAGCAATATTTTTGGCAAACAACAACATGATAAATTATTTTACTTCCGCTTTTTGTAAATTGTTTGCTTGGCAATTGCCTAGCTATGTCTATTCCCTGAGCACGCCGCCCACTCAGCGAAAAAATTGTTAAGGAAATAATTGAAATTCCAAGGATGGTACCAATTTAAGATTTTGTGGGCAGATTATAAATCAACTGCTGCTCATAAAGTTCTAAGCACAAATTAACACCGCTTTAGCTTACTTTAATTACTTATTTCTAAAATTATAAGTAGGTAGAAGAATATCTGAGGCACAGGGGATCGGTTTTCTGTGGTAGTGAGTTAACTTCGCTGTCATATTAAAAGTTTTATAATTATAATTGGGTTTGAAGGTTTTGAGTGGCTGACAAACTTTTGAGCTTCGATGGCCGAATTTGAAGTCATAAAGTGGAGTTTTAATTTTATTCTTTCTTCTTTTTGAAACTCAATATTGGATAATCTAGTAGCGCTCGATTTATTTTGGTAATGAATATTTAAATTGAATTAAAACTTAAGATAAACGTGATACCTTTTGATTTCAGTCAAGTGTTTGCGCAATAATACTTGTCTTCTGAAAATTGATATGATTCGATCAAACCAATAAATGTCAGCGATTACAAGCAACGCTTACGCCTACGGTATAACCTTTACAAAATAAGTTTTGAATTCAGTGATCTATGCTTTGCTTGTCTATATACATATACTTTAAGGATCCATTGCTATTTGCATTATATTGTTTGCGGAAATATGCATTCCATGACAAGTTTCGTGACTTCATGTTGGACTTTTGGTTAATAATATGAAAGGAATAGTGAAGAAAATGTAATTGTTTACTTAAGCCACAAAACTTATAATTTTGGAAACAATTTATACTTAGATACACATTGTACTTAAATGTTTTATATGGTAATGTATACCAGACCGTGTGATGCCGGCTTAGAATAGCATCACCCCAATTCTACCCATGGGTGTCGTAAAAAGCGACTAAGGGATAATTATCCAGGGAATGGGCAGCAGCGCTCCCTGTGAATTAAACATCTTGCACTGCGCTCGCCAATCCGCCTGCCAAGCGTGGTGAGTATGGCAATACCCCCCAATACGGGGGAGGCCCATGTCCAGCAGTGGACTGTTGTGGCTGTAAAGGTATACCAGACACGTTTGTTAATAAGCGAGAGCTTTTTCATTACTTCATTAGCGATACATTTGGCTTTTGCCAATTTTACGGCAAGTGATTTTCAGTTCACATGAACAAAGAAAATATCAAATAACTGGAAAATTACACATTCACGTATCGAGGAAATCTGTAAAATATGTCAGAGAATCAGTCAAAGTTTCGGAGGTTTGTGGTTTGACTCCTAGATTGGTGAGGTTTTTTTTCGATTTACGTACCTAAGCTAAATTACTAGCACTAGATTGTCTGAAAAATTGATGATTCCGTACGAGAGGCATACGTAAATAAACAACCACGTAGAGAGAAACTCGGAAATCAAAGTTTACAGAGTCATTCGGTGACGGACGAATCACCGAAGCATCATCCCAATTGACAAGCAATTAAGATTTATAACAGGTAACATGTTCCATAAAGTAGTCCGTGTGATGCCGGCTTAGAAT